ACTTTACAATGAGATTAAAATTTCAGCTGTTAATGAGGTCATAATTATAAATGATTTTAATTTCATGCATATAGATTGGGAAATGCTAGTCAAACCACGAGAGAGAAAGGTTTTTGGAAACTGTTCAAGACGTCTTTCTTTACCAATTAGTCAAAGAACCTACCAGAAACAATGTTATTTTAGATTTATTGTTAACTTCAAATATAGAAATGATTGAGAAGGTAGAAATTGGGGAACATCTGGGTGCAAGTGATCATTGCTCTATTAGGTTTGATGTTTTGCTCCATATAGAAATAAGGAATAATGATATTTTGGTTATAAATTTCAAAAAAGCAAATTTTGAAGGGATGTGACAAGAATTATCTGTTGTGAATTGGGTAGCTGAATTTGGAGACACTAATCAGATGTGGAAAATATTTTAAGATAATGTTTTAAATATTCAAGTTAAACATATTCCGTATAGAAAGAAAAGGGTAGCTATACGTAAAAAACAGGTTTGCTCACAAAGAGTATGAGAGATGAGATTAAAGAAAAGCATCATAAATTTAAAAAATTTAATTGACTGGTATGACAGCAGATTTAGAAGATTATAGAAGATCAAGAATGTTGCAGAAACAGGAAACTAGGACATCAATAAGGATGCATGATAAAAGGTTGGCTGAAAATGCAAAAATTAACAGTAAGGATTTCTTTAAATACATTAAGGGTAAACAAAATGTTAGGATGGGGTAGGGTCCTTGAGGAATGATAAAGGATGGCTCGTATCTGATGATTATGAGATGGCTGAGTTATTAAATTTTGCTTTTTCTTTGGTTTTTACAAAGGAAGATTTAAGCAGTATTCCACATCTTGAACAGTTGATAGATGGAAACAAGAGTAAAGATAATGATCACATTAATTCTGAACCTGTTTAAAAAATATTTACCCAAGGGTTGTGAAGGAAATTAAGGATTGGATATGTGATCCATTTGCTACTACTTTTTGTCAGTCCTTGAATAGTGGGCAGGTACCAGAGGATTGGTAGTTAGCTAATGTAACTCCTCTTTTCAAAGGAAGTGATAAAAATTGTCCCTGTAATTACAGACCCATTATTCTTACATCAGTTGTGGGAAACATTTTGGAAAGTCTGATAGAAGATGCTTTGCAAAGTCATTTAACAAAGTTTAGAATTTTATTGGATAGTCAACACCAAAGGAAAATTTTGCCTTACAAATCATTCAACGTTCTTTGAAAAGGTTACTGCTCATGTAGATCAGGGTAAGAGTGGTATATTTGGTGTATCTGGATTTTCAGAAAGCATTTGACAAGGTGCCACATAAAAGGCTTGTAAAACAATTATCTCTATAGGTGTGGGGGATAAGTTAGCAAATCAGATAGAAGAGTGGCTGGATGGAAGAAAGCAAATGGTTGTTACAAATGGAGTTCAGTCAAACTGGAATAATGTCACAATTGGGGATACCTCAGGGTCTTAGGACCTTTTCTCTTTTTGATTTACGTTAATGACATAGATGAAGGAAGGGTCAATAAATTACTTAAATTTGCAGATGATATTAAGATCTTGGGTGTTGCTAGCTGTGAAAGGGATGCTGCTGATTTACAAAAGGATTTAGATCATTTAGTGAGTTGGACAAATAAATGGCAAATAAGTTTTAATTACAATATATGCAAGATAATGCATATAGGTTATCATAATTTCAATTATAATTTGGATGGGAATAAACTTAACAGTGTCATGAAAGAAATGGATCATGGTTTAATAGTTGATCAGTCTCCAAAGCCATCCAAGAAGTGTGTTGTAGCTAGTGGTAAGGCAAATAGGATTTTAGGTTGTATCTACAGAAATATTGAATATAAGTCTGAAGAGTTCATAATTTCATCGTATAGGTCACTGGTTAGACTACATTTGGAATATCGTGTTCAGCCTTTGGCTCCTTACCACAGGAAAGACATTGAATTGTTGGAAAGGGTTCAGAGAGGGGTTAGTAGAATGGTGCCTGGGATGGAGGGGTTGTCATATGAGGAGAAATTGAAATCTCTCTAAATTGTTTTCTCTTTAAAAAAAAGAGTTAGGGGACCTGATTGAGGTGCTCAAGATTGTAAAGGGAATTGATAGTGTTGATCCATCATCTTTTTTCATACTTAACAATGAGAATAGTAGGACTAGGGAACATAAATATTGGCAGGTTAGGAGTCATCTTCAGCTAAAACAGTTTCATTTTTCTAATAGGGTGGTTGGCCTTTGGAATGGGTTGCCTTCAGATGTTGTAAAGGCAGTAAATTTAAGTGAGATTAAGAGAAAGCTTGATAACTATATGAATAATAAGGTCTGGCTTTAAGATTATATATTTTTTATTTGTTTATTAATATTTTAGTTTATTTAAGAGGATGGAACAACAGGTCCCATGTCGTCCCAAAATGTTATATAGAGATGATTCTCCATAGGTCACTTACATGATTCGTTTCAATCATTATAATACAGTGATATATGTAAGAATTACTCAAAATAAAACAAACATACATGGATCATAATATATATATATATATATATATATACATAGGCAAAAAGCCAGTAAAGTGAGAATGGTCTCTAGTAGCCAGTAACTTATGCAAAATTCTGATCCAATTCAGTCCAGATGGACTTGTACCTTTCCTTTTCATGAATCAACTCATTTGCAATAAACAGAAATATGAAAACTTTATACAGTCCACACATTACAGGATACAAGCCCAGAAATGATGCAAATGTGTCAAATTAGATAGCGTTCAAATAAACTTTAGTTTATATAAAATATCATATTACTCACATAATAAAACTAAAACTTTAGAAGTTGTATTAATTTACAATTATAGATCTTTCAACATATATATACTTTTTACCCTTTTATGAACACACAAAATATTCTTCATACATTAGTATTCACACATACAACTTTCTTACAAGCCCCTCTCTTCCTTGATACAAAATGTCACCTTACCTTATTTTCTAGCCATAATTTGTTCTGAGAGTCCAGTATGCATTCGAACACAGAATAGTCCAAAAGATACAGTATGTAAAGAAGAAAATGTAAAAACTATAAAAATACTAAAGAATTACTCACCAAGAATAAAATGTCTTCAAATGTCAGCAATAATCTACAGGAATGGTTAACTCAAGGTCTCAAAGTCAAAGAGAGATCTATAAAAACAGTAGCCATTACTTAATATTTTAGAAACAAATTAAAATACTGCTTTATATAAATTTATAAAGCTATCACTTAAATAAAGAGTCAGGCTACTTGCACAGATTTTTATCAATGTTTTCTTTGTTTCTTTACCTATATTTTACTGACAGATATTTTATTTGTTGAATGAAGACTGTCATTGTGTGCACTGTTGAATTTACTGCCATCTATTGTTGAAGAAATTAAAGTGTTGAAAATGAAAAGTAACGAATGATATTCAAGAGAAATAAAGCAGTATACAATTAATAATTTAAATAAGTAGTACAGGGAGGAAAAAAATCATAAATTGACCTTTAACATTTCTGAGTCAGTGTTGAAAGATGGCTTTTTTATCTTTGATTTATTTCCAATTTTTATTGTGTTTAAATTGTTTATTATCATTAAATAAACAGTATAATGTACTACCAGTGAGGGTTCAAGAATTTAATTTTGTTGAAGAAAGAAAGTAACAAAGGATATTAAAAAGAAATAAATGAATATACCGTTAATAGCTCAAATAAGAAATATAGTGAGGAAATAAGCATAAATAGCACTTTAACATTTCAAGTTCACTTGTTGAAACATGGTGTGGACTGGAAAACAGAATAATTGTGATGTGGAGCGGAAAACATACAAACAATACGATGTACAATGGAAAATGTTTAAACAGTAATAATGAGTAGTTAACGCATTGTCCTACCTTACATGATACTCTCCTATCGCAAACAACATTGTCCTACCTCCCACAATACTCTCCTGTCACAAACAACATTCTCCTTCCTCACACAAGTCTCTCCTACCACAACTAACACTCTGCTATCATAAACAACGCTGTCCTCCTTCAAACAATATTCCTTCTCCTCACACATTACGCTCCTACTACAAACGACATTCTTCTTCCTCACACAACTCTCTCCTACCTCAAACAACATTGTCCTTCCTCCCACAACACTTTCCTGCCACAACTAATACGCTCCTATCATAAACAACACTGTCGTTCCTCGCACAACACTCTCCTACCACAAACAACATTGTCCTTTCTCACAGAAAACTATCTTACCAAAAACACTGTCCTTCGTCACACAACATTCTCCTACCACAATTAACACCCTCCTACCACAAACAACATTGTCCTTCCTCACACAACACTCTCCTACTACAAACAACATTGTCCTTCCTCACACAACACTCTCCTACCACAAACAACATTGTCCCTCCTCACACAACATTCTCCTACCACAACTAACACTCTCCTAACACAAACAACAGTGTCCGTACTCACACAACATTGTCCTTCCTCATATAACACTTTCCTACCACAACTAACACTCTCCTATAATAAACAACACTGTCCTTATTCAACACAATAATCTCGTATCACAAACAACATTGTCCTTCCTGACACAACACTCTTCTGTCATAACCAACACTTTCTCTTTTCGCAAACAATGCTGTCCTCGACTTTCGTCTGTTACCTAATACTGTCCGTATTAAACTAAACCTACAATTATTTCTGGGGAACAAGTGAGTATACAATATTTTTTTAACTAATTCTAAATATAATTTTTTATAAGATGAAGATTTGTTTGTTTTTTTTTGTTTTTTTTAATTATGCACAAAGCTACACAAGGGCTATTTGTGCTCTGCCCACCACGGTTATCGAAACCCGATTTCTAGCGTTCTAAGTCCACAGACATACCGCTGTGCCACTGGGGGGCTAAAATATGAAGAACAATGACAAATAAATTCATATGTTAAAAATCAAATTGTCCTCTAACCATGTCATTTCCCATCAAAACAGTGAACAGGCATACTAGAAAATAAAACAAGAATGATAATAAGCTCGTGTAGTATTTGTCAAAATTAATTATTTATCAAATTTTGAATACGTGAATGCATTTTTCTGTTAATTCATAATGTAAATCTGAAAAAAATATATATATAGTAAGTGAACTAAATCTCAAATCAATACTCTTGTACAAGCCAGATGCGTGATAAATGACATCTAAGTAAATATTATAATAATCGTGTAGATCTCCCTACTATCAAAATAAAGTCTCATATTAGATTGAGAAACTAAACAGAATAATTATTTTTCTTTGGAGGAACAAATCCACCAAACCTCTGAATTTCGTTAACACTTTACTTTAACTTCACCTTCTCGTGAAATTGAATAGGAATTGGTTGGTTTTTATAATCGTAATTAATAATAATTTCTGAATGAAAGTAAAGAACAGCGTATAATAATATATTTATATGCTAATCAGTGTCGAAGAGGCCTTTCGTCCAATACCAGGGGTCTTCAGACCGCGTAGGTTGCGAAAGACAAAGTCATAGTTGAGATGTTATTTATATTATTCAGTTAATTGAACAACACTTCCTGTGTAATATGAATTAAGTTGTAATTTTTATGAATTTATACTATCGGTAACTGTTGATGCAAATCAATCCATGGGAAAATTGAAACAGTCAACGTCGAAGTTGCAATGTTAACCAGGTCACACTCTCATACCGAACACAGTTCTGTATCACCTAACGTGACCAATGACCTTAAGTGTTTACTAACAAAACACCACGCGACACGAGATGAAATTCAAGTTGCAGGATCTATACAAACACATTTATAAGAAAAATAATGAAGGCACATTAAACAAAACTTTCGAGTAGATTCTAAAACATATCTCTAATGTCAAGTTACAATATCGCTAACACTGGAACATCATAGCACCTGTACGTCAAAACATAGTGTAGACTAGCACCTGCCTCTACAAGAGTGGTATACCACAGCATCTGTTTGTCAAAAAAAGGTCCATCTTAGCACCTGCCTCTACCATATTGGTGCACTACAGTACCTTATATCAAAACACAGTTTATTTTAGTATTATCTCTATAACACGGGTGCCACAAAGTATTTATTTTAGTAAAAATGATAATCCAGATATTTTTCTAAAAATCAGTACTTCTTACAAGATATACAGATCTTCCCAATGGTACATACTCATAAACTTTTAAAATAAAGATGGAATTTTGTGCGGTTCCGTTTAGCCAAATAAGCAGATCCAGATTAGTTAGAGTTTGTTTCATAGCATATCTGATTACGTCTAACTGTAGTGTGTTGTCTTCAGGGATTAAATTTCCTAAAAATGTTTACATAAAGTTTCAACACTAGAGGCTCAAGATGGGATGAAGGCTTGTCTTCCGGAAAATTCTTATACAAAATGAGCCGTTGGTGGATGACAGCCTGGATGTAGTCCTTTGGTGTTTGATTAGGTGGACTTTACAGCCTGATTGTAGTTCATTCGTATTTCATTAAGTGGATTTTACAGCCTGATTGTATTAGGTCGTCAAGAAATTAATGCCGTTTTTTGTAAGATGAAAAAACCCAACCAACTTATATATAAAAACAAAACATTTATTAAATGAAACAGTCTG